TCTTTACAATCTAATTTTGTCTAAAAAACGAATTGCCCACTTCTTTCTGACCTCTAACCTCTTTCACATACAAAACCCTACTTTATTAAACATAAAATTTTGATCAGAAATCTTCTTTATATCAATTTCTCTTGAATTTTCGCATTTAAATTTTTAAATAATTTGCTTCCAAAAGCATTTTCAAATTTTTATACATAGATCAATTTAATTAAGACTTACCTCACAAGACATACTTCTCTTCTTTGCAACTACAAAACGTGGCTAAATTTCATTTCATCCAGTTTAAAACGTACGGGACCTTCAAATGGTCTAAACTTGTCCCCGGATTTATTTAAGAAAAAATTCGCAAATTTTCTTTTTAACCTTAGATCCTGAGGGCACCTTCTAAGCCTGATGTTCATACCTGTCTTTATTTTTATTTTATTTTAATAATTGGTAGTTTTGTCAAAGTACTGACTTAATATTCTTTTTTAATTTTTTAATTCACGTATTTCATGTCGTAGTTAAGAGTGGCCTATCCACAAGTTATATTCTTAACATATTTTGGCTTTCCTTTAAAAAAATGAAATGAAAAAATGATGATGTTTATACACACACAAACACACACACATAAACATACGCATACACACATACATACACAAATATACATAAATACATACACACATTCTTACAAATACATACATACACTCATACACATACAATACAAACATACAAAAGTTGGCAGGCTTGTATCGGCTTGGCCAACTTGAGCGATGCTAAGAAATACTGCAATTCCATTTGAAGACATGGAACAGAAATTAATTAGAGGCATGTCAAGCGAAAGAAAAATATACAATCAAATTAAAACATACAAAAAACAAACTAAACTTACAAAAACATACAAAATACAAATACATACATAAAACCAAAACATACAAATGCAAAAAGCATCCAAACTACTTTTAAAATTCTAAAACATACAACACACAAATAGAAACAGAAGCTAATAATCAAAACAACAACAACTGCAACAACAAGGACGACGACAATAATAACAAAATACAAAAATCATTCTAGTAAAAAACAAGCGAAGGAAATTTAGAAATTGATTCAGACCTTTAAAACCAAAAGAGTTCTCAATTTTGTTTTTTATT